TTTTTTTTTTTTTTTTTTGTTTTTTTATACAGTGTCATTTTTCTTTTCTTTTAAATACTCATCATTTATTTAGGATCGTTTAATGCACAACGTAGTTTTTTCTTTTATGCTTTTCAGTCATTTCTATTCATTTATTTCTTCATTTATGTACTTTTATTATTCTATACTTTTTCGTCATCGTCATTATCTAATTGCGTATCCATCCTCAGTAATGTTCCGATGTTCATTAAATTATGAAAATTTATAGATGCATCTGGCTATGACCGTCACATTTTTGTTCATCTGCATCAATTGTGTTCAGCTGTATATTCAAACGTCTAAGTTTTTGTTTTCTATGCTGAGCTGTATTTCTTTGTAAACCATTTGTAGCAGTTGTTTAAACTGCTTAATGAACCGTGGAATAAATGCATACCATCACTGTCACTACCTAAACTCATGATTTTCTTTCCAGCTTAAACTTTTCTTCTCTAATGTGGAGCTACATTATGATTAACTGAATGAAAAAGTAAAAAAAAAAAAAAGAATTTTTTCAACAGTAGAACTGAATGCAGATTTCAAGTGTTATTAAGCGAAAAAAGAACACTGAAGAGAAGCTGTTGAAAGGTGATCTATGTCTAATTAAAGACAAATTGCCAGAATACTGTAAAAATTTTGAAAATTCTAAGGAATAAGGAACGTTGTCAACATCGCTATACTCAGCACTACTCAAACCTTATATCTTTTCCTTACAGACTAAAGCAAGAAGAAACAGAATTTTAAGAGAACATATTTTTTTTATAAAGAATAATTAATTTTCTCTGTTTATTTAAAGCTTATTTACAAGTTTAAGCAGCAGATTTAAAAGAAGCAGTTATTCTAAGTTTCAAAGTACAAAAACTAAGATTCAATCATTCTATGCAAACCAAGTCAGAACCTTTATTCTCACCAACTATTCATCTGTTCATTTTATTTACACTCAGTCCTGACTGAGCTAAGTCTCGGTGACAAAGCGCAGTTGACAGTTTATTGACCTAACACGTCAAAGAATGTCAACAGAACAGTCGAAAGAGTTTCAGAAAAGCGGATATGACAAAAGGTAGACCAAAAAGAAATTATCTGTCTTCCAGAACGGTCATTTTGTTAACTGTCGTCATCATCGCTGTCGTCTTCGACGACGGTTATGGTTATGATAATCGTCGGAAAGCTTTTTCGCATACACACAAATATAAACGGCTCTGAACATCTGAGTTTTTTTGTCGACTTCCAAGAACCTATAGCCTTGGCGGTTCAGTCGTTAAAAAGCGGGTGGGTGATTAAGGCAGTTGTAAATGTCAAAAATGGCAAAATAGTTGAAAAATTTTTCTGTTGTTGTTGTTCTAAGTGCTATTGTTTTTATTAATCATAAACAGCAAAAATGTTGGTTTCTTACGTAATTTTTTTACCCTCCTTTTTTTTTTTTTTTTAGGGGGGGGGGGTTATAGTCGGCAGCCGTTTTACCATTCACCAAAACGAGACGCTTTATTTATTGGAAATTGCCATAATGTGATGGATGCTGTTGTTATTTATGGTCAAAAATGCGGCGGCATTTTTGCTGTTTGTTATCCGTTAGAAAAGCCTCGTCACTGGGCTCATTTTCAATTATTTGTTATCAAAAATTCCTTGTGAAATTAGACAGATAAAAAAATTCTCTTTTTCCTCCGTTCTTCTCTGAGCCTTTGATCTCTTTGATCGATTATATTCCTAAAATGTTCATTGTCATGTTACATTTTTCTCATTTATTCCATTCTATATCCAGGAAAGAAAAGAAGAGAAAAGAAAAGAAATACCCCCGTATTATTTGATATTCGGAATGGTTTCGATAGTTTTCTTTCCTTCTTCCTCGTTTTTAGTGAACCTTCTGTCATTGTTAGTTTTCTTTTGCAATTTTTTACGCTTGTTTTAAAGTGGACATCAAATCATTGCTCCCTATGTCATTTAATCATCTGTGAGAAAATTTGCCTATACTTTCAACATCAATAGCAAAAAACGAGTGTCTCAACTCAGTTTTTCCTTCTTTTTTATTTTGCATTTCTGGGTGTGAACAACAGAAAGAAGGAAACTGTTATTATTTTGTACTTCTTGGGCGGTTATTAAAATTTTCCGCACAATGGATGCGTATCAAAAATGATTGGGAAAAAACATTGAATTTTTTTGGGTACGGTACTTCGCTCACTCAGTGTGCTATGTAAGCTGCTAAAAATTAACCTGACCGTAGGTTCCGCCATTTTTAGCTTTTCACACTTACCTGGGAATAGTAAACTCCATAGGTTAGAGGCGAATTACAAATAATGCTTGTGGAGCAATGTAAAATGCTGCTGTGTTATCATCATTCGACATTCTGATGTTGCCCCATGATAATGCTCTGGAGCAAGTTCGAAATGGAGATAGAAAGGGAAAGAAGAAAGTGAAAAAATTAATTCATTAGTTGGATACTGGATATTGTATAAGGTTGCAATAGTTGACCTTAGAAGAGATTTTTTGACAACGACAAAGGAGGCGGCGTCAGAGTGCGCAGTCGTGAGGCGGAGTTTTGTTTGGTTGCCGTCAGTATCGGTTGGATACCATTGGCACCCCAGCAATACACCAAAACAGAGCCGTTGTTTAATTCGGTTGTCCAACGTGGCCTGCAACTTGCTTGAAATCTCCTGATTTTTTTGAAGACTTGCTTGTTGCACAGATTTTGCTCGCGTGTATACATCGCTATTTATAAAAATATTTTATCTGCTAGTATTATATATACTCACTTTTTACTAATACTTATTGTTCGCTTCCATTTTTTCCGTTTACTCTTTGGTTAATCAATTATTGGTCGTTCATTTTGCAACTATGGTCGTTCCAAAGAAGCCTGTCTCAAAACGTCTGAAGAAAACCTCATCATCATTTAAACGATCATCAGGTTGGTAGATTACTGTTGCAACTGGCTATTATTCTTTTTTGCCGTATCTCTTTGAATAACTCCTGTTTAGTGTTTTTGTTTAGGATTAGTGGATAGATCTTTTCCCTAAGCACCTCATAAACCTATAGAATAAGTATTCATTGGGTCTATTACCTGTGACTAGGTTAAATTTCAATTTCTTTAAACTGGAATAGACTTAGGCGTCAATTAGTACAGGCAAATTCAGGAGTTACGGGAGATAATTTGAACGAAGTGCAGCAGATTTTGTTGTTTAAGACTATGGTTCTGAGCATTTTCATACTTTTTTTGCAACGCTAGGAACATTCTTAATTTCTGTCGT